CCCACATTCCACTAATCAGCCAAGCTAATAATGAAGCCAGTTAAGCCAACAAATTTTTTTTTTTGTTTATTTTAATAGAGGTGTATGGACTCGTGGGAAAAAGAATAGTAGAAAATAATATTTGTAAATACAAATAACTTCACATTTTTACCTTTATAACCATATAACCGAATATTTGTCTTTATTAACCGCTAGGTCGTCACATATCTGTTATTTGACTTTATTAACCGAATATTTATCTGTTATTAACCGCTAGGTCGTCAAATATATTATAAAGATCTCATGATAGCAAGTAGCTAGAACATGAGGAAAGTATAAGAAGACTTAAATATGACAATTTTTAACAAAATGGAGATATGTTCCAATCAATCCATCTATTTATAGCATGAGTATTTCTATATTTGAACCACAAATATGTTTGGGAGATCATCTGCAATCTATGCAGGAGACGTGCTATTAAACACCATATTATTCCTAGGTATCCAAATGAACCATAATAAACCATATATAACTTTATTGCACATTTCTTTTTTGTGGGGACAGTTGCCCCAATTTGCCGTGAAATTTAGTAATGTTGTCATGTTGTTGAAAGACATCGTGGGTATGCCGCACCATTTTAATATCTAATCCCTCGCCTCCATCGCTATCTTGCATTTTATCAATAAATGCTCACCTGTTTCTTTTTCTTCTTTGCAAAGAGGGCACATAGATGATTGTAATATGACACCTCTCGTTTCCACATTTGATGCAACTTGGATTCTATCTGGGATCGCCCTCCATATAAAGCATCTGATCTTGAGTGGTACCGCTTTAGACCAGTTAATTTGTACACTGTTGCCAGGGGCTACGATTTTTGAGTCCATCAGTTTCCTTAGAGTTTTAACTGTGTACCTACCATCCTTATTTAAAGTGAAGTTTAGTCCATTCTCTGCTGGTGTTATGTTGAGATTTGCAAGTAACGAACAAAAAGCCAAGAAATCAGCAGACGTCTCAGCGTTCATCTGTTGTTTCTTCCAGTTCCATGTGTGGCCATTACTTTGAATCTTGTCTGAAATTAGACACAACTTAAAATTTTCCAGATCATATAATCCTTGGTGGGATGTCAAGTCCACCAAGCAAATTACACCCTTTGTTTGTAAATAAAACGTAATATAATGGTAAAAAGAAGTATCGATCCTTAGGGGAATGGTCGTATTCAATCACCAATACAATTTAAAAGAACTATTGTAGATAAACTAACTAACTACAATTAAACTAAATGGAGGGTGTTTGATTACTTGAAAACTAAAAGACTTGAATAACTAAAAAAAACTTGCAATTAAGCAAGATAGTGGGATGCTCAAATATTGGAGAGAGTTGGTTAACTAAGGCAATTCAACACAATGAACATTTGTGTGTTTATCATTAGGATTCAACATGAAGCTTATCATTCATCCCAATTTGGTTATAGTAATCATGAAACATGATATGCCAAGATTCCTCTTAGGTAGTATGGAGGTTGGGGAAGCCCACAACACACCTTCTTAATCAAGATCAAGAGTTTAATTGAGGCAATTGAACCCAAGAAGTTAATTAGCCTTAAGAAAAAAAAAAGAATCCCTAATTCCTAAAGGATGTCAATGCTTACACATCCATAAAGGGGCTATGATTCATAAACTAGAGATGATTTTTACCATCATAAAGCCCTTGTTCTAAGTTAATTCAATGATTCAATGCAAAACCAAATAAATAAACTAACAATAGCTCATCCAAGTGCCAAGCTCATGATCAAAGCATTAAACAAGCATAAGAAATGTGATCTAGAACCATAAACATAAGATAATTGATAATCTAGCATGAATCCTTCAAAAACCCACAAACATTTAATGGTTTTAACCAATGTTAACCAATATAGAGAAATTAGCCACTCATGGCAACAAAATAACAATCACAAAAGTCTAATTGCATAAAGAAACTACCAATGACTTGGAAAGATGAAAAGAAACGGGTTTCAAGCTCCAAAATTGCCTTTTTCAGCTCTCCAATGGTGTAAAATCGAGGTCATGACTGCTAGATCTGATCCCCCAAGGTTATGGTGTGCCAAATAACTAAAATGCCCAAACTGGGCAGTTGCGCGAGTACCTACGCGACAGAAAATCCACTCGCGCAAGTGTTGTTGTAATGTTATTGGCCCTTCATTCCTCCACTCCACCCTTCCACTACCAAAGATTCCTTTGATCCCCTCCATATCCATGTGATTTAAACCAACCAATCATCAGTTAGCTACAAAAAATGGATACTCCAAGCCCGAAATAAAAGTTTATGACCCATCTTCACAAGCCCAAAATATCCAAGTCTTTAACTCTTAAGGCCCAAATCTTCTTTTATGGATCTGCCAAGCCCAACAATGCCTCGAGAGCCCACTAAGCCTGTCTCCAATCAACCCGTAACCGCAACGAACACCGAAAACCTGTAAAGTACCTTATGCAAAATAAAAAGCACCCGGTACGATCCATAACAAAGAAAATAAAGAATATATAATGCATTAATAATAAAAACATCTAAAAATTCTAAAGTAAACTATAAAAAAGTAAATAAAATAAACTATCAAATCACCCCAAGCTTAAACCTAATTTGTGCTCAAGTTATAACAAGACTAAAATGAACTCGGGATGAACTAAACTAAAAAGAGAAAAAGAAAGATACCATAGAACTTGGTCAACATCAATCAACATGGTCAGAATTAGTCCTTCATGGACCCTACGCATCGTCAAAATGTTCCCCGCTTTAAAGCCATAAACCACATTCTCAACCACTTGATGGGCGAATAGATTCCGAATGGATATGGACGTGGTGTGCAAGACAAAGGAAATAGAGGATGCGCCCAGTGGGGGCACTTTGAATCACCAATGCAAACCATAGTGCATGAAGGAAAGGCGCCTCTTCACACACTATGATTCCTACATTTTTCAGGCTAAAGTGTATAATAACGAAATAGGGCTTTGCAGCACTGCCGCCGGGAAAACATCCGGTTTCAGAGGCTTCTCCCTTGTACTGTCCTTTCCAGTCTATTGTCTCATCGTCATAACCTTTTCTCACCAAAATCAAAAATAAAAATAAAATAATAAAAATCTAATTAACCTAAACCTAATAGCTTAAATCTTCAATCTTGAACTTCGGTCTTCAGTTTTCTTTGCTGCTTGATCTTTTGTCTTCTTATTTTTTTTTCATAATAAACCATAGGTCTTGAACTTGGATTCTTATTCTTCTTTTTGTGTTGCTCTTTTTCTTCATTTTTCTTCTTTGTTTTTGTTGCTTTTCTTTAATCTTCTTCATTGCTTCTTTTTGTCTTCACTTTTCCAATTTCTTCATTTTTTTTCTTCTTGGAAGGTCTAACGAATTTCACCATATAATATAGGATGGAGGCTAACATGAACACCTAATGATCATTGACAATTTGCCAAGATCAACTAAAAAGGGTGGGATGTGACTCAAAAATGGGTGTTACGGAAAAACTTGGCCCCAAAAGATGTAAATTGGGGGACTTACTTCAAAGTTCATCAAGCACCTCAATGTAAGGTGTGATAAGCAAAATCTATCTAACTATCTATTCTAGACCCCTAGAAAAATGATGACCTGTCTTAAAAAGGTGGTGAGAATCTAACTAAGCAAGGCTTGGACAAGACTCATGTCTTCAAAAACCATACCAGGCTAATCTTTGCTCGCACACATCGGTTTGACCAACCACATTCCTCCGCACCTAGACCCAATCAAGCTACATGCATTTGACCCCCACACAAGCGGTCTTAAAGTTGTATGTGAGGCTCAAAATGTGTCCCATATCTCAAATACAAGGAATTTCATATCAAGACCCAGGACCAATCTATGATTTAATACTTATGACTCGGTGTTATGGTACCTGTAGGGATGAGAAGACAAGAGAGAACAAAAATGCATGGACTTAAACTAGAATGTATCTAAAAGGTATGAAAATTAGAAAAGAAGGAAACAAAATATGCAATATTTTTGAAATTTTTATGCACTTTTTATGAATGACCTAAATGACTTACTCTAAATGCAATAATATACAACCTAAATGCAATAAAAAATTAAAATATAAGAATACCTCACCCCAAGCTTAAAATTAAGCATTGTTCTCAACGCGTAGGATGAGAGTAAGGAATGATCATACCGGGATCAAGGTGGAGGAGGCCCACGAGGGGGGTAACCGCCTTCGGGCTAAAAATGATACCAAAGATCCTCCATTTAGTTGTTGGTGCGAGCTTGCTGCTCCTCGATGCGGCGAATGGCTGCTGTATTTTGGTTTCCCTGGAGGCGCAATGAAGCAAGCTGACTGTAGATATCAAGAGGGAATTTGTGCTTGGTATCAGGATCATTGTGTTCCTGATAGGAGTGGTACTCATGTTGTGGCTGAAAGTGTGATCCTGAGGGCTGATCATGATAAGGTGGTGGCAATTGTTGGATCGGGAGGTCATAATGGTCTTCGGCCTCAAATGGACTACCAGCATTGGAATTGTAGACTTGCATTTCATCATCATCATCGTGTAACTCTTCAGGCAAGAACCAAGTTTTGGGGTCGCTGGTGGAAAAGGCGGAGATGCTAGGATTAGGCAAGATGTAAATTGGTTCCTTGACATGATTGAGCCAAGAAAAATGGTTATGATGGGTAGGATGAGGTATCAGTAATTCCATCCAGGTGAGAGTTATGAAGTCAAGGAGGTAGAGAGGTGAGTCATCCATTGGAACATACTCAGACTCAGGAAATTGAAGGCCCACACCAAAACCAATTAGGGTAATGAAACCTCCGATGCAAATATCGCTAGTGGTCTTCGTGCAGATGTTGTCACATTTATCCAAGAAAAAGTGGCGAAATCTGGAAAAGACCAATGCTGATGGATCATGCAATAGAGAAAATAGAGCTCAACTGTGTTGATTTGTTCCAACTCATGATGAGAAAAGATGGAAGTTGAAAGGATTCAGTGGGTGATTCTCCAACAAAGATGGATGATGTAAGGATCTTTTTGTCAACTTTGATTGTAGTTTGGAAGACTTGTGAATTGAGTCCAAAACTCTACTTTGGGCAAGCTCTTGAATTAGGTCTATTGATAACTATAGATGTCGGTGTTGTGGCTATCGTATGTGTCCATGATTGTGTTGAGGGTGTCATATGTGAGTCGGTGTTGCCGACCCTGGGGTCTAAATGTAAGCATCTCCTCCTTGTTATCCCGCACATAAGTAGAGAGGAACTTAAGTGTGGGTTGCTTGTATGTGCGTGCGGATAGAGCTAGGGACTCGTGCCAACCAATGTCGAAGAACAGTTGTTGCAAGAATTCGTTATGGCCAAGGTTGATCATCGACTCTTAGTGGTAAAATTTTGTAGCTCGGATTGCACGTTTTTGGAGATTTGACTTGAACTGTTTGATTTGTGCACTCGTGAGGGTATGGTTTCCATCACGATCAACATGGTTGGTTGACACTTTTTTGGGTGGCCCTGAGGATTGAGCTACACGGGAAGAACCATGAGTTGCGTGAATGGTTTTATCCCTTGCATTGTACCTTTTAATAGAACCTAACAAACACAAAAACTTGGCCAAAATTATACCTAACACTCGCCTCACACCAATCCAATCAAACCAAATAGCATAAATATAAACCGGGAAAATATTCCAAACTTGTAATTTTGTACAAGTCACTGTAATCCAGTCAATTCAAAGAAAACTAAGCCTAATTATAATCAACTTAATGCATAGCACTAGCCTATGAAATTAGAAATTGAATGCAAAAGAATTAAAAGAAATGTACCAATTTTTAGAGTGTCGAAACCCGAAAAGATATCCACAAAAACCGCACCCCAAGCTTGAATTTGACCTACAAGATTGAATCTTTTGAAACTCCGGTCAGAAACAAAAATTTTGAAAATTTTTGGTCAAAATTAGCGGTGGCAGCGACAGACGGCGGTCAGTGGTGAAGCTAGGGTCCCGACGAATAAAATCTGCCCAAATGTGCTATAAATCGATGTGCCCGGGAGTATTTGGTGAAGAATAGCCCAAGAAAAATGTGAATTGGATGGAAGGCGGTGGCGGAATGGAAATGTTGCGACTTTTATGACAAGTTGGTGAAATATGGTGGAGGCGAAGATTGAAGGCTGTGGTGGGGCTGGTTGTGGTTGGAATTAGGTAGGGATGAGGGTGATGGGGTTGTGCCAGTGATAATAGCAGGCGGTGAGGTAGTATGTGTTGTGCTCGTTTTTTTCAGCGAGATAGGGAGTGTGAAATCGGGGCTGTGGTGCTGTCGTTGGAGGGACAAGAGGAGGAGAGGAACTTGCGAAGGCGACGGAATGTAATGGTGAGGTTGATGACACCAACTGGTGGCGAAAGCAGTGGTAGTGGAGCTTCGTCAGCGGCAGTCGGCATTCGTCGAGAGGGAAGGTTGCTTGTTGTAGACGGGAGGAATAAGGGCGAAGGGGGATCCGGTGGGTTAAGGAGTTATAAGGGTGGGTGGTAACTGTGGGTCGAGTTCAGTGAAGATGGAGCGGGGTTATCGGCTGGGTTTGTAGGTACTGGGTCGAGTAAATGGGTTATACAGATCAAGTATGGGTTGTGGGTCGAAACAATAAATATGGATCAGTGGGTCACGCAATAGGGGTGATTATTTTGCCTTGGTCGCGTAAGTGAGTGTGAGGGTGAAGGTTGGCCACGCAAGTGGTTGCGAGGGTGAGTATTCAGGCATCATAGAAGTTGTATGGGTGGGGGTTCAGTCGCGTGCATACATCAGTGAGCATCCCGTGTGGAGGTAATTTGGACTCGGATTTGCACGGCTGGGGGTCGTCCGCATAAGGGTTGTGCGGGCACCCGTGCAAATTGCAGATTTTTGGCATTTTTCAAACTTCACCAAGATCATTGCTAGACTTCAATATGCTTATTTTTAGACCAACTTCAAGCTTAGAAACACCCAAAACTTCAAGCTGAGATTATTTATTTACAATGCATTTATTTAACGTATTTTCCAAGACTTAGCCCCGTTTCTGTTAACCTTCGTAATTCGGAGTTTCCAATGTTACGTTATTGAATTCTCCTATGTCAAAGCCTTCATAAATTGGTTTCAAGCGATGCCTGTTCACTTTAAATATTTTATTTGTTTCCAAACTCTTGATTTCAACCACACCGTGATCAAACACTTTTATAACAATAAAAGGTCAGTGCCATCGAGATCGTAACTTTCCCGGGAATAGATTTAAGCGTGAATGATAAATAAGAACTTTTTCGGCCTAGAATAAAATGCTTACGATTGATGTGCTTGTCATAAAACACTTTTTTCTTATCTTTGTAGATGCTTGCATTTTCATAAGACTTGTTCCTCAACTCCTCGATTTATTGAAGTTGCATCTTTTGGTGTTTTCCGATTTCTTCGAGATTGAAATTACACTTTTTAACCGCTCAATATGCCTTGTGTTCCAGTTATATTAGTAAATGTCAATAATTTCCATAAACGAGGCGGAATGGAGACATACCAATTGGAGTTTTATAGGCGGTCCGATACGTCCACAATGCATCTTCTAACTTCAAGCTCCAATCTTTTCGTGTAGTGTTAACTGTCTTTTCAATAATTTATTTGACTTTTCTATTTAACACTTCGGCTTGGCCATTCGTTTGAAGATGGTAAGCAGTTGATATTTGGTGTGTGACACCATATCTTTTTATCATGGCTTCCATCATTTTGTTGCAAAAATGAGTACCCCTATCACTCACCAAGTCTCTCGATACACCATATCATGCAAAAATGTTTGACTTCAAAAAGTCAATTACAGTTTTGGAATCATCATGCCTTGTAGCCTTTGCTTCCACCCACTATGAAACATAATCAACCGCCAAGAGTATATAAGTATAACCGAAAGAAACGAGGAATGGACCCATGAAGTTGATTCCCCATACATCAAAGATCGTACAAATGAGGATAGGGATTTGAATCATTTCATGCCTCATGGATACAGTTCCCGTTCTTTGACATCTATCACAACTCTTGAAAAATAGATAGGTATCTCTTGACATTGTTGGCCAATAGAGTCCACACTCAAGCACTTTTCGCATGGTTTTGTTTTGACAAAATGTCCTCCGTCTGCATACTCATGACAAAACTTCAAAATTAACTCAACCTCGTTTTGATGATCACACATTCGTATTAGTTGATCCAGACAATGTTTCCAAAGATAAAGGTCATCCATCACATAGTATTTGGAATCACTCTTCAATTTGGCTTTTTGGTACTTGGTAAACACGTGAGGAATTTCATTAGTAAACAAGTAATTCACAATATCTGCATACCATGGAATGGTGTTTGAAATATAGAAGAGGTGTTCATCTGGGAATTCATCAAGGTTAGAAGATGAGGAGTCACCAATATTGAACCAACTTAAGTGGTCGACAACTAGGTTTTCGGCACCACTTTTGTCCTTTATTTAAAGATCGAATTCTTGTAAAAGAAGAATCCACTTAATCAACCGTGACTTGAAATCTTTCTTGGTCATGAGATATTTCAAGGCGGCATGGTCGGAGTACACAATCACTTTTATCCCAAGAAGGTATTGTCAGAATTTCTCCAAGGCGAATACAATGGCTATAAGTTCCTTCTCAGTGGTTGAGTAATTGGCTTGAGCATTATCCAAGGTTTTGGAGGCATAGTAGATGACATGTGATGCTTTTCCCTCCTTTTGACCTAAGACCTCCCCAACTACAAAATTGCTTGCATCACACATTATTTCAAATGGAAGCTCCCAATTTGGAGGTTGGATTATTGGACTGGAGGTGAGCAAGTCTTTGAGTTTCTCAAAGGCTTCTTGGCATGCAACATTGAAGTCAAAATCAACATCTTTTTGGAGAAGGAGGCACATCGGTTGCGTAATCTTTGATAAATCTTCTATAGAATCCCTCATGGACCAAGAAAGATCTTACTTCTCTAACACATGTTGGGTAAGGAAGGGTTTGTATGACATCAATTTTGGCTTTATCAACTTCAATTCCCTTTTGGAGACGATGTGTCCCAAGATGATGCCTTGATTGACCATGAAGTGATATTTCTCAAAATTTAACACCAAATTCTTCTCAATGCACCTTTCCAAAATCTTCTTAAGGTTATCTAAGAATTCATCAAACGAATTCATATACTGTGAAGTCATCCATGAACACTTCAATTATATTCTCAACATATTCGAAGAAAATTCTCACCATGCATCTTTGGAATGTGGTTGGGGAATTGCATAATCCAAATGGCATCCGCTTGTAGGCAAACATGCCAAAGGGGCATGTGAAGTTCGTTTTGTCTTGATCTTCAGGGGCAATGGGTATTTGATGAAAACCCGAGTATCCATCGAGGAAACAATAATGTGACTTGCCCGCCAATTACTCAAGCATTTGGTCGATGAAAGGAAGAGGAAAGTGATCTTTTCTTGTGCTCGAATTAAACTTTCTATAATCAATGCACACCCTCCATCCATTTTGAACTCGAGTGGGTACCATTACTCCTTTGTTATTCTCAACAACCGTGATTCCCATTTTATTGGGAACCACTTGAACCGGACTAACCCATATAAAGTCGGAAATCGGGTAAATCATGTCCGCATCAAGGAGTTTGATTATCTCTTTCTTGACAGCTTCCATCATGGGGAGATTTAATCGTCTTTGAGCTTCCCTCCTAGGCTTACAATCATCTTCCATGAGTATTTTGTAAGTTCATACATTAGGGCTTATCCCCTTAATGTTTGCTATTGTCCACCCCATGGCTTCTTTATGATCTTTCAAGACTTCAATCAATTGGTTTTCTTCAAAGCTTTTCAATTGAGAAGATATGATCACCAGTAGAGTTTCATCTTTACCTAGATAAGAATATTTCAAATGGATAGTTAAGACTTTCAATTCAAGTGTGGGTGGGTGGATTATGGAAGGTGGCATCTTGTTTGGAGAATGAGATAAGGCAATTTGAGAAACATCCTTCTTTATGGAATTGTTAACTTCTAATGTTTTCATAATCTCATCAACTTCAAATTCCAATGTATACATATCAAATGTATTCTTCAAACTTTCACCATCAAGATTCTTGTTGAGCACCATCTTCAAAATATCTCCATGTGATAACTCAAATAATTCTTGGGTGATTGGCTCAATCACATCAACCCGAAACAATGGAGAAATGTTGCTAGGGTATGTCATGGCTTCAAAGATGTTGAAGTGAATGGTTTCTCCATCAAATTCCATGGTGATCTTCCTATTATAAACATCGATAATCGTGTGAGAGGTAATCATGAAAGGTCTTCCAAGAAGGATCATGGAAGACTTGGAAGGGGTCTTCTCTTCAAGGTCAATGACATAGAAGTCCGCGGGAAATACTAGTTGATTGACTTGCACTAGTACATCTTCCAACACGCCCCTTGGAAATACACTTGACTTTTCCACTAATTGAATTATCACTTTGGTTTCTTCCAAAGGTCCAACATTGAGAGATTGAAAAACCGAGTATGGCATCACATTAATCGAGGCTCCAAGATCTATCATGTCACTTTCGACATGCAAATCACCAATGGTACAAGGGTTTGCAAACATGCCCGGGTCCATGCATTTAGGTGGTAGCTTCTTTTGGATAATCAAAGAAACATGTGCATTGAATTGAATCTTTTCATTCGCCTTAAACTTCCTCTTATTGGTGCACAAATCCTTAAGAAATTTGGCATAGCACGGAATTTGCTTTATGGCATCCAATAGTGAAATGTGGATTTGAACTTTTCAAAAAGTCTCAATAAATTCTTTTTCCTCCTCTAGTTTCTTTTAGGGAGCCAACCGAGATGCGAAAGGTGGTGGTATGACCAATGGCTTGATTTTCTTGTTGGAAGAGTTGGGTTGATCATTGGTTGGCATAATTGGTTCCTTTGTAGTAGCTTCAACCTTCGGAGGATCAACAACAATAACCTCATCTTCTCCTTCTCTTGAAACTCTTTTAGGATTGCTTTATCCAAGTTTTTTGCCACTTCTCAAAGTTATTTCACTCACATTGGGGTTCTTCTCGGTTTGAGATGGAAGTTTAACCCTTTGTTCCATCTTGTTGAGAGCGGTGGCCAAGTCTCCAAATTGTGCTTGAATATTGGAGAAGGTGTTCTTGGTCTCTTGTTGAAATTGGGTTTAGCTTTGAGCAAGAGAAGAAACAAGTTCTTGAAGAATCATTTAATGGTTACTACTTGATTGGCCTTGTTGTGGAGGTTTTTGGTAATTTAGAGTGGGATGAGATATTTGTGTATATGGAGGTTTTTGTGTTGGATATTGAGAAAATTGGGGTTTCATCATAACATGTGGTGGGTTTTGCTTTAGTGGGTATGGGTTGGTTGTGTTATTCCTCCAATTTGGGTTGTAGTTATTTTGAAAACCCATGGGTCTTGTTTGACCTTGATATCCTCCCATTTCATTAACATCCTCCGGTTCACTACCAAGTGAGGGACACTTATCTGTATAATGCCCCCCTCA